GAGGGAGGTCATCAGATATGGGGTTGGCTAGCCCCCTAGAGGCCTGGTGTTGCTTCCATCGTCCTCCTGGATTTTTCCTCTTCCTTTATTCTGTGCAAATTTTATATATTTATTTATTGTTTTAATCTGTTGTAAGCCGCCCAGAGTCCCGTATTGGGGGGAGATGGGCGGGGATACGTTTGATACATAGGCAGGCAGGCAGGCAGGCAGGCAGGCAGATAATTGATGCCATCAAGTACCTTACAACATTTACAGTGTCTTTAACAAAACACAACAAAATTGTATCTAATAAAATCACCAGTATAAAACTGAGGAAGCATAAGTTTCAGAAAGTCAGTAAAAAACTTGTATATGTCACAAAGAGAGCATTGGAATATAATGGACACTAGTATGGTAATATCTATATTAATGACAGCCTTTGGCTGACTTTATTTGAGGAAAGCTTGATATACCAAATTACCATAATAAATACAATGTGAAACTCTCCTAATGAATTGGACTTCAATTTCCATCATCCCCAGCCAACACCAGTCAGGAAACTCCATGGTACATTATAGTAATGCTCAATGTTGTTTTAATCTATATAAGCCTCTTTCAAGAGAGAAATCAATACTAGGATGTTTGAAATGTTAAAGTGGCCAAACACAATTCTGATCATGGGGAAACGTGAGTTATTTGGTAGGGAAAGTCTTCTAAACACAAGATAGAATCCATTTTGATTGTGCAAGCCCTTACATTCATTTCCTGACATCACCAGGTAGAACTAGGAAAAAATGCTCTTTAAGATCTGGAGAAGCAATGCCAGTCTTCAGTCAACAATAAGCTTGATGGAACAGAGGCCTGACTCTTTTAAGTCAGGTCAAACCTTATACTTGCCTCTAGAGTGCCCTACTCATGGCTATATAATTTAATGGAACTCCTAATCTGAATTGATTTAGTGTGTAATACATTTCTTCCATCTGTATCAGGGATGACCATCAGTTGAGGCCTGAGTTCAAGGTATGGAGGGCAGGATTCATGAGAGGAAATCTGCCAAACAATATTTCTATTGAGGTGGCAAACTTGCCACTGACATGCTGATTCCTGTGTCAAGAATATTCATACCTTCCCCACCCCACCCCCGAAGACAATTAAACCAGTGTTGTAGAAGGTGCGTGCTAATTGTTAAGATTTTTTTAAAAGCAGCAACAGAGGTGGGAGCTGAGGAGGATGAGAATGACCAAGAGGGCCTACAAGCAGTTCATATAGAGAAGGAGAGTTACCTGAATCTCAAAAAGAACTTTTTATTGAAAAGAAGCACTCCATCAGAGTCCATTAGCAAAGAGAATCTTAAAATTTGCAAACAATTCAGCATAAAAAAGGTACGGTTAGCTTTTAAATTGATTAACTATGAAAATGAGTGGGGAAAGTAGTTTGGTATATTGTAACTTTTTTTTAAAATTATCAGTTGTGTTTATATTCATACAACCAACCTAGGTTGGGATTTTAAAAATCCACTATTGGTCAGAATTCTTTTAATAACTGATTAAATGTTGGAGCCCTGACTTGTGGTACTTAGCAATTGGATCCTAGTTAAGAGTTTGTTCTACTACACTTGTCTGAGTTCCTTAAAAAGGATGATTTAGTTTATAAAATGCTTCATATATCTATTTATTTTGATTAGCTACTTTAATGAACAGTAAATGTATTGGGGGGGGTTAGATTTTTTATCCCATCTTTCTTATTTTTATAAATAACTCAAGGCAGCGAACATATCTTCTTTCCTCCTTCTATTTTCCCCACAACAACAACCTTGTGAGGTGGGTTGGACTGAGAGAGAGTGACTGGCCCAAAGTCACCCAGCCAGCTTTCATGCCTAAGGTGGGGCTAGAACTCACAGTCTCCTGCTTTCTAGCCTGGTGTCTTAAGTACAAGATAAATCATTGTTACCCATGTATTGAGTAATCATGACTACTGGTAACCTTGTGCATGTCTTTGTCAGTCTTCTAGGCATTACCAGGCCATGTTACAAGAACGACAGAAACTTCCTGTATGGGAAAAGAAAAAAAACATTCTCAGCTTGCTGAACAAATATCAGGTCCTGGTTGTAAGTGGTATGACTGGGTAAGTGTATAATCTATACACAAACAGAAGCTACATTCCACATCATGTCTAGTGTATTAGTAGGCCAATATTGCTTTTTCATAATTCATTATAGACGAGAGAGAACCCTGAAATCATATTCACAGGAAAGGAAGAATGCTTTTACTGTTGTTTTTCTTAGATTAAGAGACTCATTTAGATTGATCAGTTCTCCATCTCTTCACAATTTAGCTTAATTGAGAGAGAAATGTGAAGAAGAAAAAAAGCCCGGCCAGAGTCTCTTTCTCTATGTCTATGATTTACTAGGCCTACCATTTCTGACTAAGACTAGACATAGACCAAGAGAGCAAGCTAAAAAACAAAAAGAAGACTATGGGATTTGTCTAGCAGTTAAGATGGATCTCCCAGCAATACAACTACTGTAAGATTAAGTGAAAGATTAAATCATATAATCTCTACATTTTTCTGATAATAATTCAAATTATAATAATTTTTAGAACATCCTAAAATAAGAAAGTCTAATTCATTGTTCTGTAGCCTGTACAGCCCATATACAATCATGTCAGGATCATGTAAAGAAACCTCATACTTTTCCAATGGGAAGCCCCTGGTTTGTTGGTTTTTTCGTAGAAGCCTGGCAAAATGTTGACCTCCAAATAGAAGGTTCCATTTTGGAAAAAAAGAGAAATTTATATCTTTTGGACTCATATTGTTGTAGGAATTTGTAATAGTGCCAGCCTCATCTGTTTTGTACCGTTCAAGTTGCATTTCTCAGCAGAAAATCTTTCATGAGGCTTGAATTCAGTCTTGTTTTCTGACCTTTTTTCAGACTTCTGAATCAGTGTTAGCGAATGGAAAAAAATTAAATGTACTTTTATTTCAAAGAATGAATATATACAACTACGAAGGAGAGGTTTGAGGACAAAAAAACCCATTTATTTTAGCTTGGATCTTGTTGCCTTTATGTTTCATTGATTTGTGCTCAGCCTTGAGAAGTAGACAGTTCTTTAAAAGAAATGAGTGGACATTATCCATAGACTGCAGGTTAGAATGCATTGATAAGTTGTGTGCTGCTTGAGGGTGGGTGATTCCTGCACATACATTTTTTTTCCCTGCAGATGTGGAAAGACCACTCAGATACCTCAGTTTATCTTGGATTCCTCCCTAGAAGGTCCTCCTAATAAAGTAGCCAACATCATTTGCACCCAACCTCGTAGGATTGCTGCCATTTCTGTTGCTGAACGTGTAGCCAAGGAACGAACAGAAAGAATTGGAGTTACTGTTGGATACCAAATCCGTTTAGAAAGTGTCATGGTTTGTTTTTTTCCTTTGCATTTGCTGAAGTGGTAACACTGGCAATGTTTTAATATAACTCTTTTTAGTAAGAGTAAGAAAGTATACCAAAGTTACCAATTTTAGTCTCCCCCATGTATTACTTATTAGCTCTAAGGATACATTTTAGCCAGTATGCTATGATATGACAGGTGGGTGAGATCAAAAGAGCCAATGGTTTGCATCATGATGCTGCTTCCACCATCTTGCCTTTTCTTAACCCCTCTCCCCCTACACGGTTGAGTCCAATCAAAACCTTAGGTCAAATTTGTATATAAGCTGGAACAGTATAGCATTGTATAATTAACTCGAAACATTGTGTATTTAATTCAAATTTTGCTACAATAGTTCTTAACTATGGGTCATCCATAAACCAGGCGCTCTTAACCCTGGGACTATCTATCATTGGTATTAGGTTATTATTTTTTTGACCGCTGAAAAAATATAGATACTGGCTGTATTGATTGGATTCATACCCTGCCATTCATTTAAGAGCTCAGTTATATCTTATCTAGATCATATAATACAGCATCTATTCTTTTAGATTCATATGGATAGTGGCACTGAA